GGGTCAAAAATACCCCTCAACTTTGGTTTATTGTTTGACTACGCCCTCGCCGTTAAAATGAAGTTATTTTTACCCCTCCCGTTACTAATTTCACCAAATTTACCCCTCAATTGGATGGAAAACCCAAATCAATTAAAATTACCCAATTTCAATTAAATAACCCAATTTTTTCTCTTTTTAATCCGAACCCGACCCATTTATACCAAATTAAAACCCCAAATCAAGCTCCGGCAATCGCCATTCATTTTCTCCGTTTTCCGGCGAAACACCACCAAAACAACCTCCAAACGACCACCTGAAACCACCACTAAAAACCCCCAAGAACCAGAAACGACATCAAGCAAAAAACATTAACAACAAACCCATTTTCCTCTACTTTCCATTGACGACAACAAGATCTTTCTTCTCCATTTCCGGCCAGTTTCAAGCTGGAACAACATTAAGCAAATTACCCACCGTCGGAATCATTCAAACAGCCGTGAAACCGACCTGAAACAACTCTCAAACACCACTCTCTCCACGCCAAAATCCAATGGTAAAACCAATCTGGAAGTAACTTGACTAATTGAATATAATGGTTGGTAAAGTAAGGTCTAAACCATTTTCCACGTGGGATCGACCCCAACCTACAAGTTGGGTTATTTACTTGATAACGATCGCTTATGCTTCTGTAAGGAAGTGTAATTTGAGCGTATCAAATTTTAGCACCACTGCCGGGGAAATTTGGCTTTTAGATTTAGGGAAAAAGGTCAAAAATACCCCTCAACTTTGGTTTATTGTTTGACTACGCCCTCGCCGTTAAAATGAAGTTATTTTTACCCCTCCCGTTACTAATTTCACCAAATTTACCCCTCAATTGGATGGAAAACCCAAATCAATTAAAATTACCCAATTTCAATTAAATAACCCAATTTTTTCTCTTTTTAATCCGAACCCGACCCATTTATACCAAATTAAAACCCCAAATCAAGCTCCGGCAATCCCCATTCATTTTCTCCGTTTTCCGGCGAAACACCACCAAAACAACCTCCAAACGACCACCTGAAACCACCACTCAAAACCCCC